TGTAATTGCAAGGTACCACCCAATGGTGGATGGCTTTCATACTTCCCAAAATTCCTCTGAAAACCCTACTAACAGAAAAAAAAAAAAGAACGGCTTTAAAACATGTACTGTTATTTTCAGCTCTATGTCCAATGCTCAAGTCATACTTGTACTTAATAGTGTCCTACATGCTACACAATGACACCTATGACAGATGCTTTAATAACATTGATTGCATACAGGCTGTGCAAACAGCTGGAGATACACAGACAATAATATTTATAGACTTCTACCTCTCTTGGTTTAATTTTAAACATAGATAATGCTCATAATTTTGAGCTGTACATGTTTTCTTCAAAATCTTAAACCATTTTAGTTGAGGCTTTCAGAGGCTGACAAGTTTGGAACACCTGGTACTCAGTAATTTTGAGGTAAACAGTGTGCCCAAATCCTTTACACACTTTGAAAGTCTCAAAACCAAGATGCTTCTTTGTTGAGAACATATCCACTCATCTGTGTTTTGAAATAAACAGATTATTATATAGGCCAAATTCTTTGTTGTTATCTTAGCTCTTACAATTGGAACTGATTGCTGCTCACATGCTTAAGTAGGCTGGTCATACTCTGCCATGGAGCATTTAAATAAATAAATAAATGTCGCCCAAAAAATCCAAACACACCTCCTTTGTCTACAGAGCTCATACAATTAATACATCCTGTTTCTGATTTATAATGGTTAATGAAGTATCTTTGTGTAACCTCACCTTTGGTCCCCCTCTGCTGGTGTCAGAAGATGGAAACTCCACTCCTTTCTTCAGCAATTCCAGATAAACTTCTTTTACTTCGCTCACATCCACCATTCCTTGGAAACCTCGGGCCCACGTCTAGTTTTGAGTAAGAGGAACAATAACAGTCACCGAAACGGACAGTCAGTGGGTTAGACATGTGCTCCTAAGACATGTGGTCCTAAAGGCAGGTCATTCCCTCCTTCCACTCAGCTAACTCCATTGAAAGTAGCAGGAACCACGAAAGCTCCGAAGCTACATCTCATCCTGCTTGCTAAGTGCAACCACAGAGGGAGCACATACACAGACTGGGAGGGGAATAAAAAAGGTGGAGGTTGACAGTTTTCCAGTTCTCTCCCTTTGTCTTCCAATCTGTTCCATTTCTGCATGAAGCAGGAGCAGCAAGAATAAAGCCTGCTGCAGAAAGAGGTTCCCATGAGTGTGTTACAGCACAGAAGGGGGCTGCATCGTTAAGTGTTAACCCTACAGCAGACCCACACACATGTACTGTTTACTCCAGACTTACCATGATAAAGGTCAGGATTTTCTCCTGCATGTCCATCGGCAGATTGTACCTTGGATTCAGTAGTTTCACCAGCTTGTCTTTACAGAAATCTTTCTTCACAACTAGAGACTGGAATCTTGGGCCGCAGTTCTCTATACACATGTCGAGCAGCTGCACACACAAAAAGCTCCTGTTACACAGACACTAGGACAATAAGAACCACCTGAATGCTTTTGTTTCGTTTGTTTCAAGGTGTTATGAGGAAGGTACAAATGGATACAAACAGATTATTGCCAGCTATCTCACTGGAATGTCTGATGAGGTTACGACAGGCAAACAGCAGCTTACCATGTGCGCTGTTACACCTATGCAATACAAGAGGAGATGTGTTAGCCAGAATCACACTATTTTTAATGAAGTATGATCCACTTGTGTCCATGTCATTGCAGTTACTGAATGTACGGTACCTTAACAGCATGAAATTTGTCCCTAGCTTAAAACACAACTTGTACAGATTCAGTAATAGAATTAATTCACTGCCTAGCACATAGGTACCCTGATCTGACAGATTCTGAAGAGCACTACAAGAGAAGAAAATAAAGTTACTAAATGCCTCTCTTCTAATCTGCCCTGTAAGTGAGATACTAATGAAAAAATAGAAAAGAACAAATTCAACAACTCTGAGTACAATTTCTCCACGCGTTTTAAAGGTCACGTTGATTTGAAATACAATAGCTGAAATGTTCCAATTGTCAGATTCATCTTCAAGAATGATGTCTAATTCCAAAACTCTGCTTGGAATGCTCGAACTAGGATCCCTGGAAGCAAGTCTGCCCTATCAAATACAGCAGTACATGATAATACTGCTCCCTTGTACACCTGGAGGTAGCTGATTACAATTCCCTTTATACAGAAGAGATACCAAAAGTTGTCACTACATCCCAGACACCTGAAATCAGTCCAATAGAAAGAAGCCTTGACAGGGAACTGGGGCCAGTCAGATGAGGTGCAGAATCAGGAACAGAACTCATCTTGCCTAGCTCACATCAGCCACAGGACTGCGATGCCCCACACAGAGAAAAACAGACACTTGTGCTTTCTGCTCTTCAACTGCTTCTTTTTCCTTCCAATTTAAGAGGGAAGATGGAAAGGTAAAAGCAAAGTGTAGAAATTAACAGAAGTTTGCAAAATTTCATGGTTTGAGACCAAACTTCCCCTGAATCATGCAACAGACAAGATATATTCTCAAAAGGATACACTGATTTTAAAGGAGCTATCATAATCTTGATAAAAGTAGGTTAAATCCACTTTCCTATTCAGAGCAGACTATATTTGACAAAGCTGAAATAATTTCAGTAACTCATTTTCTAGCCTCAGGACTTGGGGATTTTTTTTCCTCAGTGTGACTGAGAACTTTGGGGAGAAGAGGTTTAAAACCAAAAGAAAATAGATAGCTGAAATGAAAACAGGGTAGAACAAAGAGACACTGGCAGACTGCTGTGCAAAAACCTGAGAGATAATTACAAAAAAATCTTGGCTTGAATCATTATTTCTCATTTGAAAGAGTACATGAAACATATGTTAATAAGCCAAGTCATTTGCCTGTGCAGTACTTCAAAGATGGTCTGTGTAAAACATTTTCAACCCAGTGCATGGGAAATTTGGTATGTTACTCCCTATTATTAATTCCCTACTTAAGGGACTAAGTATTTACCCTCTGACTGAAAGTACTGAACTAATGGGCTAGATCCTCCACTCAATTATGCCAGTACAGCCCACTCAGAGCGAAACTACGCTGCTGTAAGAAAAAGAAGAATTTGACTCAATTATTTTTAACTGGACCATCCATGAACAAGCCACTTTCATGCTAATAACACCTTTCATTAGAACTTCAATATGGTTATTTATCATTGTAAATAGAACCTCACCTTCCCAAGCTGTTCCATTGGAACGAACAGATCCCAGGTGGCCAAGTCAACCACTGCTCCACATTCGCACAATGGAATGTTAATAGAAACACGTTTTAACAACAGAACGGGCAAATTAACTTCAACCAAACCATTAAACTTCCTCTACATGACAGGCAGGACCTGAGAACTGTTGGAATTGACAGAGCAGCTATGTTCCAGGTTAGCTGATACCACACATCCAGCTGAGGTCTATACTAAGCAGAAAGGAGGGCGAGTTGCACAACCAAAATTCCTCTGGTTCACGTGACACCAACACAAAACGAAAATGATAAAAGGCATCTGAACAGAGGTGAGGAGAAACTGTAAGGCAGAAACAAGGGCAGAAGGTGGTGGGGTATCAGAAGTCAGCTACATTCCTTATCAATAGAGACCTCACTCAGAAGGCAGACTACCTGCTCATCTAAAGCTGCCAGGTGTGGTGCACACACCTGTAAGGAACGGATGCGGGTTGTGATGGATACTTCTCAGACCAAAGGCGAATGCAAGAAAACACAGATGAACCGTTTTCTTCTTCATACTCCTGACTCAAAGGAAACAAGTTATTAATCCATCTCCAGCATTATGCTTCACTAAACATGTACTGATGTCTACCCAGTAGAGTTTTCGAGCAGCAAGACACTATTTCCAAGTGCCAGCATTTTAAATAAACCTCTACGAGCAGCTTTTTCAGCTGCCATTAACCACTTACACTCTAGAGTCTATGTAGACTTTACCAAGATGCTGCATTTCAAACGTTTTTTTTTTTCAGAAGTTTTGAATATTTCAAATATATATAATACTGAAACAAGGATTTTTTGCTCCCACTCAATGTCCTTTTCTTTTCCTCTTTGCCAATACATACTATAAAGTATAATAAAATTGACTGGGACTTTTTTCATTGAGAACCTGGAGGGTTCCCTCAAGTCTTTGGATTTTAGGTCCTCTGCTTTGTGAAATGTTAATTCAGTAAATGAAAATTTGAAGGCCACATTTGCCATGCTAATTTTTTTTTTGTTTAACATCTGAAAACTTATATATTAGAAGGAAAACCAGAAAAAAGCCCAAAGAAAAAACCCCACACTCTCTAAAATTTAACTCTAACCAATGAATTCCTTTTATTTTCCAGCAATGTAATGCAGAAATGAAACAATAATTCCATTCTAAAAACTTTTTGCACTGCTTTGCACAAAAGAGTGTGTGTGGACACAGGTACAGAGAGGGCCACATTCAAAAAAATACTTCCCTGTGTGCTGTTCAGTTCCTAAGAGCTTACAGGCATCAGAACTGGGGCACTGCAGTAAATAAATGCTTTACAAAACTAAGGGACATCTATGGAGACAAACGAACAGGTGTCTCAGCATTCTCTATGTAAGTATCCAAAGTCTATTAGTAATAAGAAGTCAAATAACACATACACACTTTGTTGGATTCCTGCCTAGAAGTTCTAATCCTCTTCACTCTGATTGCAAAATCACCTCTGCCAAGCCTGATCTCTTGGCTTTATCAAAAACTGTGTATGAAGCAACTTCATGGCCTGACACGCATAAACTTTGATCCATGTGACTTCACAAGCACCAGGTAACTTCAGCAGCTCGGAGTGCATGAAGTCAGACACTGCCAACACATTATACAGCTGGCACTCACCCTTTCTCCTCCAAGTAAATAAATAAGCATCTACAAGCCAGAAGGAAGACAACATTGTTGAGCTGTAACAAGACTAGATGACAGAATCTGGGCTAACACATGCAGTCATGCTACTTCAGGTGAAGACTTTCACATTGCACTCTGTGTATGCTCTGTGAATAAGCTCCTTAACCAGTTTCATTAGAAAGATTCAACTCCAGAATTTCAAGGCTGAACAAGTAAAAAGTGGATCAAAAGATCCAATTTCAAAAGAAGAGTGATTTGTGGACCTGGTGCCTCCTTAGTGGCATCTAATGTAGGTAGGAGAGACAATTTGATGTACAGTCTCAAAAGCAGGATGACCACTAACTTACAGTTCATCAAGAAAGAGCCCTTATTTTTGAGGAAATTTGGGACAACAATTTCCAAGAGATAAGAGTTGCACATGGAGGGGAGAGGCTTGAGTTTTAGGAACTGAAAATTATTTCTGTTTTTCCATTTGCAAGGATTTGCTGTTCCAATCTAAGCCCTTCAAAATGCGAAACAGGAACAGTGGAGAACCCAAACCAAAAGATACAGCAAACAAAGACCAATATGGGGATCTGAGTTAAGTCATATGGTCAGCAATGAGGTCATCACAGTGAAGGTTTTACACCTGCTAAACTGATGGCCATACTGGTAGAAAACTAAAAAAGGAAAGGAGCTTGGGCAGAGGGAGAGGCAAGGATGGAAGATCTTACATAGGAACAAAGCAGGAAGGGAACGTTTTAAAAAAGTGCCAGCCTTTTTTCTAAGAAAAAAACAACAACAACAACAACAAAAAAAAAAGAAAAAAAGAAAGATTAAGAACTCGGAGGCAAGAAACCTGCAGTGAGAAAATAGAAGCTGGGCCAACAGGATGTGACTGCCTGGCAGACACAGTTCCATGTGTACATGTGAGTGGGCAAGAGAACAGACATGGAGAAGGGGCCTGGAAGGGTAAAGAGACTGTGGGAAAGCATCACACTACAAGCACAACTGAAACCTGGTCCACGCTCCATCTGCGAGCAAACACAATGACCTTCCAAGTCAACACGATAAAGCTCTTCCTTGGATATATCTGAAATGAGATGCTTCCCCCACTTCTGTGTTTTTCCGGGCTAAACCATAACATGACCTTGAGTATATCTGCAGAGTAAACACCCAAAGAAAGGCTCCTAAATGTATGCACTAGGTTATCATAAGTCCAGTTGACTCTGTCAGATATTCAGAAAAAGGGCGAAGGCGTACAAAGACTGTAGGAGAAAGAAAGCAGAGCCAACACAGGGATTACAATTACAGTGGAAACCGAATGTTTCTGTTATGCAAACACATAGAACACAAAAAAGTGAGTCATGAGACAATGGAGGAGGAAGCCAGGAAGGAAGTGCAGAAATGGAATGAGCTGAAGGTATACATGGGTATGTTTAACACCTATCTACATCTCTAACTTGTCAGGAGACACTTGCGCAATTGCTAGGAGACCTACAATTCGACACTCTCAATCACCTATCTTTCCTAATCGCTTCGCAGCACATATTGATATAGATAATGATTTTGCACAACAAATACCAAACCCATGAGTGATACTACTCCGAGTTTAGCACAGACAAGCCTCTACACCCTCAAAAAAAGGAAATGGTGAAGAAATTACTTTTAGACAAACACTGAAAGACAAATCCCCAGTAACTTAAAATACAGATGACATTATTCTTCTCATAGCAGCACTATTGTTAGTCAAGAGTAAATCAGGTGGAGAACTCTGAACTTATGACAGTGTTAGGAACGTCCTGATACATTATCAGTGCAGTGGAAAACAGGGAACTATCTTAACATACTCCAGTAAATCTGAAGTTGACCGAAATCACCCCGCTTCTGCAAACTCTGGGATAGTTGGGAACCCTGTCAGATTCTGGAGGCCAGGTTATTCCCAGCCACTCCAACCTTCAGCCATAACATCTGAATCTTGTGCGGCTTATCCTGCGTCTCACTCCCTAGCTTAACTCACCATTGTTACCCTTTCATTCAAGTTTCTCACTTACACGTGATGACAGCTACCTTTACAGAACAGGTATCGCACATTCCACCACGCTGCACACCAGGATTAGTTTAAGATTAGTGCCACAAGGTGAGGAACAGAATGGTCAAATGTAGCTTTTATGTGATATCCCCACCCCATATCTTTCACAAACAGGTGGGGCACTCACAGCGGGACAGTCACTGAAGTAAAGAACTATACAGACCACGGGCTTAAAAAAAAAAAAGCAACCCAAAAGCACAGCAGTGAATTTAAGAATCTGTGTCATCAGGGACTCTATGGAGTGCCAGTAGACCATCTGATCTGCACGGTGTTAGTGCTGTACACACAAACAACAAAGAAAACATCCCGGAGAGTTGTGTCAGTGATAATTTGCATGCCACCTTATCGTTTAAGATGTTTTCCTTCTTAGTGTCTAATTAATATAAACATAGCCATACTTACAGACAGGGTGAGCCTGATCTCCTTATGGTTGCAGTTTTTAGAAAGCTTTTTCTTTAGTGCTTTAACTGCATCTTTAGGCCTGCGACAAGAAATTAAGTAGAAAAAGTTACCAGTGAAGTTAGACTTTTTTTCAAGTTCGCAACTTCATCCGAGGGCCAAAAATACCGGCCTGAGATATAGGACCAAATTCATCCCTGTATTTACACCCACATAAAACTAGAGCAATTGCCCCATTGATTTCAGCAAAATCACTTCAGCACTGAGCTGGAGTAACAAAGCAGTGTATCAGGTTTGTTACTGCAGACTCTGCGTTACTCCAGAGACTTGTGCAAAGAAATATTCTCCTCTGCAAAAGTCTTGTCCAAAATCATGTTATTTTGTTGTTGTACATTAGATTTATTTATCTAGATTTTATTGCTATGAAAAAGAATTATAATTGCCAGCTGTATCAAGAGTTGACTGGTACTATTTTTTATGTATGATGCAATTAAAAATATTCTCCTGGGAGTGCTGTCAGGAGTAGGGGTGTCTTGGCTAACTTCCAGACTCTAATTGCAGGATGCTTTTAACTCATTTGGGTAATTATCATGTATGGGTGGACAACCCATTCCACCCCAGAGATAGTGGCACTTCTAGACCAGTCATTTTGATTTCTATATATACACCCCATATCTTTTAACTATCTACACAGGAAGAAAAGGGTGGAAGATGGTATCAAGATTATCACACGTGGGAAACAGTTTTGCCTAATTAATATGGGCTATCTACAGTGTACAATTATTAGGGACAGCTCATTGCTCATGATCAACAAAAACAAGATGTCCTAAAGCCTCTTTAGGATCTCTCTAGAATCTAAGACAAAACAAATGTTGTTTCAATAACAACAAGAGAACTTTGCTGAAAATACTTCAAAGCCAATGTAATTGAACGGGTATTTACTACCACTGCATTTTTCAGTTTGAAATGCTGTTGTACTTCATTAGAAAGAGATTTCTCTATTTTTCTTAATCCTATGTCATACCCAGTCATGCCAGTAGAGCATCAAGTGATGAATGGGAGCACGAAAGCAGAGAAGCAAACTTTCCTTTGCAGAAAACCGTATTACTACTATTCCACTCCCAATTCTTGCTTCTCTCATTGAAGCATCTGGAAATGCTCTGCTCAGGAGCTGGATACTGCATTAAAATAACCATTTGCCTAATTAGATACAGTTCTGTGCCTAGTATCCTGTTACAGACGGTGACTAGTGGTAGTTGCCGAGAAGGAAGTTATAAGGAGTTCCTCTGTAAGCATAAGCTCTGCACAAGAGGAAATAGTTTATTAAAAAAAGCTGTTGCATAGAAGCGCCACATAAAAACTAATGTTGAGAGTTAAAGCATGCTGTTGCTTACAGCAATGATGAGAAGGGAGTTATTACTGACCTTCAAAGCTCCAAGAGACACGGGTGAGTGTGGGGGATCCAAAAAAATTAAAGGAAGAAAAAGCTGATAAAAACCCAAGACACTTGTGCCGAAACTAAGGCATGCTTCATGCCCCTGGAGAGAGCCCTCCAGCTGGTGTTAAAATATGCCACTGCTAACAGTGAGTTCTTGCAAGGCAATGCTGAAGGGGGTATCTTGCATGAGAAAGTTTCCTTCTCCCGCTCTGACAGGTGGGAACAAGGAAGCACAAAGCAGCAAGTGGCCGAGCAAACCAGGATGTTCAGTGCAAGAGGCCACCTCTGTCCTGTTATGATGGATCCCACGGAACAGAAACCCGGCCACTGCTTCCCTCCTGCTGTGGTATAGGTTTTAAGTAGTGTTGTAGGCAATCAAATGCTCAAGGTCTTTTTCCAGGCTGGGTTTTGTAGAGCGCAAGGGTACCCGTTTAAGCGTGACAAGCAGCATGGGTTATAAGAAATACGCTGGACTCGGGTGAGAAACCTACATTATCCCCTTTCTCTAGCGCTTGTCTATGGGGAAAGGCCTACAGGTCTAGTCCCCACAGGTCCTGACAGCTGAGCACGAGGCATTAAGACAGCAAAACTCTTCCCTACGAACCAAAGATACCCGCTCCCTTGCTGCCATGTGGTTCTGGGTGACTTGCCGTTGCTCTGCCCTCCACACCGGCTATCCTCTCTTCCCAGAGGAGAAGGGGCAGGTCACGGCACAGCCGGTCCCTCTGGCACCGGGCCCGCAGCCCCCCGCCCCACTCACCCCTCCTCCGTGGCGTTGATCACGTCGCAGATGTGCATGAACTGTCCCCACTCCTCCGTCTGCAGCGATCCGAGGGTCGCCCGGTCTGAAAGGCCAAGGGGACCGCCGTA